GGGGAAGACGTGGACGTGCTTTCCTTCAGCGTGCGGGAATTAAACCAGCCGGGAGCTCCCTTGTGAAATACGCGTGTGTGCTACTCGGAATTACAAAATGCGAACTGATGTCTAAAGCCCAGAAGCCAAGAAAAATAACCATTTACTAAAGGCTTTTCTGGGGCTGTAAGCTGCCAGCACATTCACTTAAAAAAAAAAATCTTTTTAAAGTTTATTTGAGTTGTCCAAGACATTGTTCTGCAGCAGACGTTTGTTGTCTAAACTACATCTGTATCTAGCACAGCTTAATTTCAGAGTGGAAATGTGTATTGAAATGTGTTGTTGTTCTCAAAAGCCTTTTCTGTTCTTAAATTTAACACTACCAGGGTGTGCCTGATAAATTACATGTGTTTATTTTTCATCTGGAAAGGCTTTGCAAGTAAATAAAATATACAGAAGTTTGGCTTCAAATACGCATTCTTGTCTTTCCCTTTGCCTTTTCCAAAATTGTCATTTGTGGCAAAAGCGCATGGAAGAGGAGAGAAAACTGCAGGGGGGTGGTGGTGGTGAAGAGGCATCCAGTCTCTTTGGTCAGGTCTGTTCGTGGATATTTGAAAGGAAAATACAGTTCCAGCTGAATTACAGTGAGTGTACAGAACATTTAGTGTCATCGTATGTTCTCGTGTAGGCAAAAGTAGGTAGCAGATAGTTAAGTCCTACTCTCATTTTTGCTTTATTCTCACTTGTTGTTTTGACTTCAGGATATCATGAAAATTCAAAGCAGTTTGGGTCACTGTTTTGAAAATGGAAATTTCTTATTTTTCCAACTCTGAAGTACCCAGTAACTCATGAGATGGTAAAAGTGCTCAGCTCCATGTGGGACTCTTACCCGAGTGTCTGCTGGGAGCAGAGAGTGGAAATGTACAGGAGATGGCTGCTGAAGGACTTCGGCATCCCCCTTATCATAGGTTCCCCCTTTGCCTCCTGGCACTGGGGATTACACATTCCCAGAGGAAAAATTTCAGGTTAACTACAACTGCTTTACCTAGGGTGTAATCTGTGGGGAGCAGAGGTATGGCCCTGGGCCCCTGCCTGTGACTTGATGGCGCTGGAGAGGGCAGTGGAGGTGTGCCTTGCTGTAGGGCAGGTTAAGGGGTCGTGGCTTACCACACAGCATTGCCCTTCCTGTGGCACATGTGGCACAGGGGCTCTGATGGACCCTAGGGATGCGAGCCATGGTAGAGAGTCCCTGATCCAACCTGGAAGGGTTCTTAACCCTACTAGGATCCTTGACCTATGCAGGAGACCACACAACCACTGTGGAAACCCCAAATTATGGTCATGGGCAGGGACATCACCCAGAAACGGGAAATCATGGTGCTTGCTGCTGACCCTGACTGCTTCTTCCATACTTGGAGCAGGGAGGACAAAGCTCAACCAAGTAGCTGAAGGAGGTGACTCAACCACATGACTGTGGTTCTTGACAATACACCACTGCCTTTTAGTAGTTCAGCAAATGCCCTTTCGAACATAGCATCCGTAAGGAGCTACAGCCAGATTGCCCCTGCACTGCCCACTGGTACCTGGTTGTGTAGCAATAGGAACCCTCCAGTTCACTTTAGAGAGAATAAAACTGATTTCCAGTGGTATCAAGAACTCAAGGTATTGCAGTACCTAACTAAGGCAATGCTCAACACACATCTTGACAGATTTTTTTAGATAATTTTTTAATATTTTGAGGTCCATACTTTGAAGTTAGTGGCTAATCCTCTGTACGTGGCTGGGACAAAGACATTTTGACGAGTAAGAGGTAGATATGTCACGAAGCAGTGTCACAGGTATGCTGGACCTGGCTGCTACTGTCTCACTATAATATACAACCAACCTAAATTCTTCTGTTAAAAAATTAATGTGTTTTCTGAATTACTGGCTACAAAGCAGGAGGAGAATGAAGAAGTAGTGTAGCTGAGAGATATTAACTGGAAATGTCACTGCCAGAAGAGAATAATTTTTAATTTATTACGTTATTATTTATATTAACTTTCAAGTGGCTTGTGAGTGATGCTTACTCCTTGAGAGTTCTTGCAAATAATAACAGCCTCCACTGCCTTGCCACTAGCCTTTCAGAGGCAAAGATTTACTTTTTCAATGCTGTTTGCTGAAATAATTTCAAGAGGAGAGGTAATTAGAAACAATGGAACAGACTCTGTATTATTTCTCCTGATTGAATGCATCATCCATGCCTTCAGCCAGGGGAACTGGTAGAACACCATTACCTTCAGTAGAGTCATGACAGTTTACATCTGCTGAGTTGTGGCTGATAAAGTCCTAGGTCTGACATATGATTTCTGAACAGGAGGAAATGTATTTGTCCTTTGACAGACCAGTATGATAACTCTGCTTGGAAAACACTTGGAGAAATATTTATTTTGTTGCGTGTAGTGCTCTTAAATGATATGAATATGATTCTCTCAGGCAGTGATCAGCCAGTTTGATGAGTATTGCTAGCTGAGCTATTGTTAACAGATACTTTTCTAGTCAAATGTAATTGTTTATTTTACAGAGGAAAGCACTTGCAATTCATATGGACACAGTGCCATTTTGTTATGAGCCAATACAATGAAAGACTGTGATAGTTTATGTGATAACAGTTGCAGATTGTAACTGAATTACAATTGGATTGAACCTTAGCTTGAGGTGATGTTCTGTTGAAGAGTTTCACTGCTAACATGCTTTAGAAAAGAGGTCAGCAAGTTGAGAGCCCAGTTCTGCTCCTGGAAAATGAATGAGGTGGTCACTGTCTTCTTCAGAGTAAAAAAGACTGAGGACATCGTACAACAGCTGTGTTTTTTGGGTCTCCCAGTGGGTTCCTTCACCAAAAAAGTTTGGACTTAAGAACTAGAATGGGGAAATTAGTAGTAGTAGTAGTAGTAATAATAATAGTTAAATAGTAAATTATTTTCTCAGAAAATAAATTCCAAATGTCCTGAACATACTAAAGAATTCAAGTCCATTCACTGCAGGCTTTTGTCATATTACTTCTTTTCTGAAGGGGGGAATCCAGGAAGAGGAGGGGTGGGAAAATGGGATATGAGTAGTCCTTTAAATCCCTTTACATTCATCTGGCATGTGGTTTGCTTCTCCTCTCTTCTAGAAGGCACTTGAAAATGCATCTGCTTTTCAAGTGCCCAAAACAGTCCTGGAACAGCAGTGGCTCATATGTTTTTGTGATTTTAAGAAACCTGCATGTAGAATATATATATATATATATAGCTTGAGTTGGAAGGGACCTTAAAGATCATCTAATTCCATCCCCCCTTCCCTTGATACCCATCTTTTGAAGTATCTTTCATGTGTTTGGGAAGCGCTCGCGACCCTTGAGTAAATAAATGGTAAGGTCAGAAGCTCTAGCCCTTAAAGAGTTCCCTAAACTAAGCTGTCTACTTTTGGGCCAATGCCAAGTGTCCTCCCCTCCAGCACAACTTTGTATTTTCTTACCTTTCTCAGAAAAAAATAATTCTTTACAAATTTGGTTCTGCTGGAACCAGTTCTTTCTTCAACCATATCCCGCCTTGGTTACCAAGCTGAAAAATTGGCTATCTGTTCATCCTCGGTATATACATTTGGGAGTAGAGCACTGATTCTCACCGGAGTCTGCAGCAACTGAACTGTAAAAAAAAAATAGTAAAAAAACCAACTAAACTGATAAAACAGTAAGTGCTTCTGACTTCTTCTGGTATTTTTACAAAGCTGTGCAGATCTCTTCTAATATTTATATATGGCAATGGAAAAAAAAGCAGCTAGTTTGCTGTGAAAATGCAACCCATTTAAGTCCATGGGAAAATGTTGTAGTTAATGTAAGTCATAACTTAAAGAAAAATAGACGTAAATTGAACAGGACAATGAAACTTGTTATAACTAGTTTTTATTAAAAAAACCAAACAAACCCAACAATATGAAATGTATGTCTTTTATACAGCACAAAGGAAAACAAAGTGGATCATAAAGAAAAGTGATACTTGCAAAGATGTGACTTGCTGTGTTTATTTTTAAAAATGTAGCAGAAATCCAACTATTTTGAATGGAAAGTAGGATTGAATTGATAATGACTGGCTTTCAGAGCATGTCCTAAACTGTAAATAGTGTAATTTTGTACTATTAGGGTTGGATAGTTATTTTAGGCATTGGCAGCATGCAAACTGGCATCAAGACTTGACAGCAACTTTCTTGGCATCTTTTCTACCTTAGGTCTGCATGGGGAGCAGGGACAAGCTTAGAAAGCAGTGAGTTTGCTCCTCTGCCTCTCAGGCAGCAGTGCTTAGGTGGTGTTTTGGTAGCACCACGTGTGCTGAGGACTTTTTGAGAAGGAGTAAGCTGGTGGCTGTGCACACTGGGACTTGCTGGGACCATTTTCTAATCCTTCTCACAGCCCTGGCTGAATTGTCCTCCGCGGGGAAATTTTGTAAGGGGAAACACCTACAAGCAGTTCTCCCCATTGCGCTTGCATTTCCGCAGCAGAGCTGCGACTGTGCAGAGCATGACTGACGGCCTGTCCACAGTTACCTTGATAAGTGTGCAGCAGTACTGGAACCTTCACGCCCCATCGTAGACAGCATCCCTCTCCCTCTGGGCTTCTGGGTGAATGTTGTGGCTCAAGCACCCGCACAGGCCGTGAGTGACACGGAAAGATAGTGGGAGTTATGTGGCATTTTTTTTTTATTTTATTTTCAGAGCCTGGTTTGCGAGTCACTTTCCCACATTAATATGCGAAGCTTGCCGGAGCTGGAGATACACACCGCCTGCTCAGAGGAGTGCTTGGAGGAACGTGGCTTGGTCTCCCTCTTGTGGAAAATTATCGGAACTAAATTCTCGTGATACTAGAGAGGAGAACTCTCACGTCGCGAACAAGTGATGGCAGCATTTACTGTGCCACCTGGTGCTCCTGTCGGCCCTCAAGGAAATGAAGAGATGGACTCTCTGATCGTACTGCATTATAATTACACAGGAAAGCTTATTTTAAGGGAAAAGGCAACTGATAACATAGACCTGTCCACTATTGCATTTCTGATCCTGTGTAGTTTCATAGTCCTGGAAAACCTGATGGTGTTGATTGCCATATGGAAAAATAATAAGTTTCACAACCGCATGTACTTTTTTATTGGCAATCTAGCTCTCTGTGACCTTTTAGCTGGAATTGTTTACAAAGTAAACATTCTTATGTCTGGGAAGAAAACTTTGAGCCTGTCCTCCACAATCTGGTTCATTAGGGAAGGCAGCATGTTTGTTGCCCTTGGAGCCTCCACTTTCAGCTTACTAGCTATAGCTATTGAGCGGCATTTGACCATGATTAAAATGAGGCCTTATGATGCGAATAAAAAATACAGAGTGTTCCTTCTCATTGGTACATGTTGGCTTATTTCAATTTCATTGGGTGCCTTGCCCATCCTTGGCTGGAACTGTATAAACAACTTACCAGATTGCTCAACAATTTTGCCTCTGTACTCCAAGAAGTATGTTGTGTTTTGCATTAGTATCTTCATAGCCATTTTGGTTGCCATTGTCATCCTTTATGCCCGTATCTACATCCTGGTGAAGTCCAGCAGCCGTAACGTCACTAACCACAACAACTCGGAGCGGTCCATGGCTCTCCTTAGGACTGTCGTGATTGTCGTTAGTGTCTTCATTGCCTGTTGGTCTCCACTGTTCATCCTGTTCCTCATCGATGTGGCCTGCAGAGTCAAGGAGTGCTCTATCTTATACAAAGCCAACTGGTTTATTGCTCTGGCTGTCATCAATTCTGCAATGAACCCCATCATCTACACTCTGGCCAGTAAGGAAATGCGTCGAGCTTTCTTTCGCCTTGTTTGTGCCTGCCTGGTGAAATCCAAGGTGGCCAGATCTTTGCCTGTTCAGCCCACACCAGATCACAGTCGAAGTAAATCCAGCAGCAGCAATACCCAGAAGCCAAAGGAAGATTTCCCAGTGATCAATGTTCCCGCGTGTATAGCTGAGAAAAATGAGTCTTCATTTCACAATGGAAACTTCTGTAAGTAAAGGACTCCTTGAGACAAGTACGTTTCTGTGGCTTTTAGATTTAGACTACAAGTGTAGTTTAAGTATTCGTGCACTTAAGTCACAGGGGAAAACACTAACCAGTTATTTAACTTTGAGGACTTATTTATCAACAATCATTTGCTCTGGGTGTTCATTCCGTAACACACGTTTCAGAAAAAACCTTTCTAGCTACCCAAAAGCTGGGACAGAGTCCATGCACATCCAGTGACATTGTGCACTGCGATCACACTGCGTGATGAGGCTGCATTTGGTGCTGCCCAGTCTTGCAAGATACCAAACAAAACCAATTAGAAACTTCAGCATTCACTAAACACTGCTGATTATTGAAAAATGAGCCCAATTGTTGCGGACAGGGAGAGATGCTCATTACAGGTGTTGGTGATTATAGTTCTCTATGTGTATCTTGCTGTTATGTTAATGGCCTTATATGTATGTGGTATAAATAGCTGTATATTTGTACAATTCCTTATTAAAAAGTTGTTGTTCCGTAGAAAATATGTTTAGCATTGTATTGCAGTATACAGTGTAAGCTGACAAATTATACAAATAGATGTGTTTCAATGGGGATATTTGAAAATATATGAAGTAGTAGCTTTTGACTGACAGGAACTTTTAACATGTCATATCAGTGCAGTATTTTTTTTTACCACTGTTATTCAAACTTTTTATTTTTAGTGAAAGACAACATGACAGTTGTCACTGTGGCATTTCACAACTTATTTTAAACAAGCAGTAGTAAATAACCATTGAGAGAGGCCATATGTGTTCCCAATTTAAAGTAGTTAAAATGTGACCCAGCAATACACGTGTATCAAGTGTATGTACTGTTTCAATGCATATATTTTTACTCACTATTTCCAGTGTATTTAAAAATGTATGTCAAACCTATGTAAACCTGTGTACATTGTGAATGCACTATCTAAGCTAAGATTCTACAGTTCTGAAGCAGAGACGTATCATTTCAGAAAGCAATGAACCACAACAAGTCCCTGTGGAGTTCCTTCTTTTCTCTCCAGGCACTACCACAGCATGGGATTGTGTTAGAAATTCTCCCTGGGAAGAATTTCAGCCGGTGGGACAAGATGCCGTTTTCTCGCAATGGGACGCTGTGCTCCTGCCATCTCCAAGCACTTTTGCAGATAGAAGAGGGAAGATGTGGTACAACAAGATCATGCTGAAGGGCATATCTCCATTTATACCTGACCCTGCTTTGGATCTGGAATGAAAGCCTGTTTAGTTTTGAAGACCTGGAGACCCAGACTTAGCCTTTGGAAAGGCTGTTCCAGAGAAACCTGTATGAAAACGACGTCATGGTTCATCACTGCCTTGCCAGCCTCAGCACAGAATGGTGTTGAGCATTAAAGGGATTCCCTGAGACCTAGAGCAGTTAAGACTTCACAAACATCTGGTTTCAAGTCCGCATGGAAGTGGCCTGTGGTACTTCCGTCAATAGTATTTTATGGCTGGAGGCTTCAACAGAGGTTAATGGGACATTCTGAAACTAGTTCCCATTGTTTTTCAGTGAGAATATAAACATCTAACATCGGGCTCTTTCAGAGATTTGTGTTTAGTGTCTCAAACCACACTTTGCCTTATGCACAATCAGAAGTAGTAAAGCCTTTTTTGACTTTTCATAGTCTGAAAGAGCTCATCCTTAGCTCTACTTTGGTCATAATCATTTAAAGCAGCAGCATTAGACTTTTCCCAAGTATGTGCATTGTATAAGTTGTGTGATGTGTGTAGCAAAAGCCTTTAAAATGTAGAGGTTTGTCATGTAATTATCTTTTACAAGTTAACAGTCTGCTTGTAAATATTTTACGCTGTTAGAAAAGTGTAAGAACAAAGAAAAACTGTATTTGAATGAAATAACTGTGAAAGAGAGTAGTAAATATGAAATATTTTCTACCAAAAATGTTGAAAAGCAGTGCACTTAGAGAAGAAGAATAAACTAAACTAAGCTAAGCATGATACAACAATATGAACTGCAGATACAGGCTGGGTCAGCAGCTCTGTAGCTTTGTGAGAAATAGAACTGGTGACATTGCATTGCCATGGCTTGCTTAGGTTTTTAGATCTTACAGTGCTATTTGGCTGTTTTTTCAGTGTGGAAGTTCTCCCGTAAAGCTGTGTCTTTGAAAACTGTCAGCTAAAATATTTGTATACCTCTAAATGCTTGTGAGGTGGTGGCGTGTGGCAGCATTCCTTTCTGTTGCTGAGCAGAAAGGCCTTATTGTGGCTGACCTCATACCGACTCTTTATGTCAAGGATGTTACATGGTTGTTGCTATTTAGGTGAAATAAAATCAATATTTTCAATAGCCAAAATCTAAGAACGTGCACCTAATAATGAGTTCTTAACATATGAATTCTAGCCTTAGCTGTTGTCAGAGTTGATGCAAGGTACAAGTAATGCAAGCATCTCTATTGTTGAGCCCATGTGATTGCATGTCAACACAAAACCTTTCACTCTACTTTGATTTCCTTCTCTTATTTTGGAGCTGTGGGGATATTTTGTTAGTTCACTACCCTGCTGTACTTGAAGCAGGCTCCTAAGATTCATGGGTTCATATGTAACACTGATAATATAATTTACAAAGTACTTAGGACTGAAGAGAAAAAAAATGTCATGGATACAGTCTTCAGTGGGTACATTCCACTGGGACTTACAAGGTAAGGCATAGATTCTGGAATATATCAGAGCAAATTTTTAAATTAGGACAGGTCAAGCAGTGGAACATAAACAACAAGGAAGATGTTCTATCCTGGGAGCTGGAAAAAGATGGGAGAGTAGCTCCTTTTACCCCAAAGTTTTAGAAAATTCCTTAAAATACACCCCCAAATCTAAGCTTTTTGTCATGTAGGCTGATTTGAGCACACAAGAAACTGAATCATGTCTCCCTTTCCCAATTGGTTTTACATGGAGAAAAAGCTACAACAGAGACTGACATTTTATTCATGTTCTTTCATGAATTAGAATATTTATTTTGGTTCTGGATTACAAAAAAAATGCAAATCAAGCCACCTAAGCAGAAAGAAAATAATCTTTCGTAAGATCATTTCCAAGAGTCTTCTATTGCCAAAAGTCTTACAGAGTATTTTCAACTCATTAGGTACCATAAACATTCTGAAAACTTTTAATTAAATCTCAAGCCTTTGAACCAAAGTTGTGTGGCTGTCATTATTCAAAGAATTGTGGAGGAAAAAAAAAAAAGATTTGGCCTTCTGTGGCAAACATGCATTTAGACTTAGGGTGGCATGCCCAGAAGCAGCACCTGTGGGAACGCTGTGCAGCCCAAGGCGTTGGGCAGGCTCTGCCTCCACCATCCCCTGGAGTCAGAGGAAGGCTTTGCACCATTCTTGGGGAGCAGATGCGGTCCCTCAGCTCACCCGCTCTCCCAGAGGGCTGTCTGCTTCGGCCGCCCCACGAACGGCTGCTGCCTTGGAGCAGCGACTGCCATGAGAGTGTTGAGCTGCCCACGAGCTCTCGTTTCTGATAAGGAAATAGAAAACAAAGCTGTGCTTGTGCCAGGAAAAAAAAAAATAAAGCTGAGGTCCTGATGGCTGCTGGTCCAGCCCTGCAGAGCAGAGGCGTGAACATTTCACCCACCAAAGCCCCTTGGCTTTGCTGTGAGCCCTGGACCCCGCCCTAGGACACTTGTGTCTTTGGCAGCAGGCATGGCAGCAGCGATCAGGGGTTTCTGCTTGGCTGCGGCTGGGCCGTGAGGCTGGCTGCAGCCCTACAGAGGGAGGCGTGCTGGTGCCCACGCTGCCTTCAGAGCTGCTTTTCTTCTCCCCAAGAGCAAGGTAACCCCCTGGACATCAGCTTTTCTCCCAAGTGGGTGAGAGGGAACAGCCTTTGCAAGGGACGCTCCAGCAGAGAAGGAAGAGGATTTGGGGAACATCAGCCCAGCTATGCTTCCTTCTGACGTGGAGCCTTTCTTCTCTCCACAGTACAATAAACAGCTGCTCTTGCATGGACGTTGTCCTTGCGATCACTCTCCACAGAAAGACCACGGCATGGGCTACCATTGGCTGCCCTTACCTACTCAGTGTGCCAAGCAGGAAAGCTGCATTTTCAGGAGCAGGGATTTTCGGCATCTGACCCAGAAGGGGCCGTACAAGTGATTACTTGCACTGTAAGTGGTATTTCTTGAAAATGAAGTTGGGGAAGTCAGTGTTGCTTCTGACAAAGTAAGTGGAGCTCCTCTGGTGTGAAATGAGTGTAGCTGAGGGCAAACTCACGTGCTGTTTGGTCCTCTGACATTTTTCATTTCTGTTTCTACTGAGATGAGTAGTTTGTTGGCTTATCAATATTCAATATCCCAGTACACGTTATGGAATTTCACTTATTGTGCTACAAAATGGGCATCCCTTCAGATAATTAGAAGAAAAAGAAGAAAGAAAAAAAAACCTCACCTGAATTAGGCTATTATGGAACCTGGGCATAGGAGAAACAGACTCAAGGCCACTTTACATGCATTTCAGTCTAACAGTAGTGTTCATTATTTTATTACTTTGGTTAATCATATACAAAATGAATAATCAGAAAACAGTTGCATGATGCTTATATTCCAAATTCTGTTGCTCAAGGACTTCCTCAGAAACCATAACCAGGCAAAAACTTGAGAGTCACAAAAGTGGTTGGGAATATAAATGATCACAATATTTTCACATACATTATTTTTCCTGCAATTGTCAGTTAAAAATGTTTCTAAAAGTAATAAATATTAATAAATCACAAATGTATAATCAAATTCCCCTTTACAGCAAAACAGTCACTTTTTTGTTTTGTTGTTGCTGCCCACACAATGCAAAGAAAAACATTTACCTCAGAAGAAGAAGCCTGACTTCTTTAGAGGTTTAACTCTGCAGGACTTTACTGAGAAGCAGTTATCACACCAATCCAGCCACAAAGAACACAAGTATATACGAATTATAATCTTTACATTTTTCAATTAATAAAAAAATTTCACTTATTTT